CTTCTAATTCTCATTATTTAATTTTCAATATTTTCACTTTTTAAATAATTTTTAAATGTCAGCTTCATACTTACCAGCACTGTGTAATGTTTGTTTCCTGTTATATGCAATATACATAACTTAAAAGCACATCCATACACATCTCCTATAAGCTGCACCTTCATTATGAGAAACCAGAAACATACAATGTCTACTTCCCTTCCTGTGGCTTTATTTTCTGTTCCTGCTTTCTTTTCTTTTTCTCAGTTCAAATAGTCATCTGCAGTGGCCCTCAGGAGAACCAAGACACAAAGGGGGAGAGGTGTGGACAGGGGGGAGAGGTGTGGACAGGGGAGGGTGCTGAGACAGAAAATGACAAGACGTGAGATTTGAGGGTGAGGGAGGGTGGAAGAAAAGAAGATGGATTTTGCAGCCCAGTGTCAAGACCCAGAAAATAATAATCCAGTGTTCCTCCTCCTCCTTTCCAAGTGGGAGATTTTTTTTCTTTCTTTCTCAGAAAACGGTTGACTGTGCATGCCTTCCTGCTGCGACTTCTCTTGCTTGGGTGCACCACTGTTTTCCTTTGCATTCAAATGGGCAACAGATGCTGGAGAAGAGCAAATGGAAGGCTCTTCCACTAACTGGACCGTGTGCAACCAGGACTGAATGGTGCTTCTACAATCATCGTGGTCTGGCTTACTTTTATGGTTTGGCAGGGCAAAGGGAGGAACAAGGGATTATGGTCGTTATCATTTTTTTTCCTGAAAAGTCCCACCAATTCTTCGATTTTCTCCAAAGGAAATGTAGGTTGTTGCAGATGTTGCTTGTTGCTGTTGACCAACTGCTCTGCCAGACCCAGCAGCAGTGCAGAACATGGTGTTTCCTGTATATATCTTTATCTCTATATATCTACGTATATATGCTTTTCCTTTCCCAGTCTCTCATGAATGACAGTACGTTGCAGCTGGGACATCAGTGTTGGCATTAGAGAATCTAGAATGAAGGTCCCTTTTTAATGGTTCTCTGGCTTGGGTTGGACCAGACATGCCAGCATCTCTTCACAGAGGTCAGGATTCCTGTGGCTTCTTGTTTGTCTTTTCTGGGGATGGATCTGTTTCTCTGTATACCACAGCTTTGGTTACCAGCATGTCAGGGAATATTTTCACTTTTAAAAGTAACATAATTAAAACAAAATAACATTTCTTACCTATTGTTGTGAGTTGAATTTTGTCCCCCTGGAAGACATACTTAAGCCCAATTGCCAGTATTTGCAAATATGACCTTTGTTGGATAGAAACAGGATATTTACAGATATAATCAAATTAACATGAGGTCACACTGGACTAGGATGAGTCCTAAATCCAATGACTGCTCTTCCTAGAAGGTCATGTGAAGACACTGCAGTAGAACACGAAGTGACATAAGAGGCAGAGACTAGAAGTCCTGCAGCTAGAACCCAAGGAACATCAAGGATTGCCTACCACCACGGTATTCAGGAAGAGGTAAAGGAGGAGCCTCTTCTAGCACTACAGAGAAGAAAGAAAGTTCCTGCTGACACCTTGATTTTGTACTTCTAGTCTTCAAACAGTTGAGATAATAAATTTTTGTTGTTCTAAAACTCTTCGTTTATAGTTGTTATGGCATACACTTTAACCAACATAGTAATTTTATTATGTAGATATTAACTTTTTTCTTTTTGCCAAATCTCTTTTAAATTTTCAATAATGAGCACATATATTTTTTGCAATAATAAAATCTAGTTTTAAAACCAGTATTCCTGGGCCACAGATTTAGCTCAGTAGTTCCGCCACCTGCCTTGCAAGTGCAAGGCTGAGTTCGATCCCGGTACCAAGAAAAAAAAAAACAGTATTGCTACTATTATTAAACAATTTATGTAAAGTAAAATATTTTTACTAAACAAAATTTATAATCTAAGACATTTATTCTTCAATCTTTTATATAGGAAAATTATAAAATCTTTATAAAACAAAAGTATGAGCCGGCGATTTAGCTCAGTGCTTTCGCCGCCTGCTATGCAAGAGCAAGGACCCAAGTTCAATCTCCGGGACCAAAAAAATAAATAAATAAAACAAAAGTATGAGATAGGAATATATATAAAATTCTCTAAACAAAGATATTCTCAGAGTTCTGTTTCTTTATTAAGATGGCAAACTGATTCTAAATGTTTATGTCATAGGAAAGGAGTCAGAGTAGTCAAAGCTATTCTGATGGACAAGGAAGACCTCCCAATCAGACATCAAGAGTTATTATGAGTTATAAAGATGATGACAGAATAACACTAGCAGAGCCAGAGAAATTAGTCAACCAACTAGAATGGAGTCCTTCATTTATATGGAAGTTTGATATATCAAACAATGACAGTGACAGATCAACAAAGAAGGGAAGAAATACTCAAAAATAAAACTGGAAAAAAAATGATCATCCATATAAAAAATAATGAAATTAGACCCATATTTATGCTATTTACAAAAAATGATGCTAAAGTCAGTAGAGCCCCAATGTAAAAGCAAAACTTTAAGACTTTAGAAAGACATAACTGAACCTTCTTGTACTTGGAAGAGGCTTGTTTAACAAGAAACAAAAAGCACTAATTGTAAAAGATTGATAAATTTGCCTAAAATAAGAACTTCCTTTATCAAAAGATCATCTCTAGGCCAGGAGATTTAGCTCAGTGGTTTCGCCCCCTGCTGTGCAAGCACAAGAACCCTAGTTCGATCCCCGGTACCAAAAAAAAAAAAACAACGAAAAAAGATCATCTCTCCCTCTAAACCTTACTAGCTGTTGCACTACAATCTAAGGACACTGTCTTTAAAGTTACATTCCCTTAGGATTGGTGAGGCCTGGCCTATCACAAATGGGAAGTTGCTAGTGCAAGTTCAACAGTGGTCCTGAGCTTTTCAGTAGTCTCTCCTCGGAGACTCACCTTTGTTACTACTTAAACAAACTCTAATTGACTAATATACGGGCCTGATCTTCCAGCTTTTCCCAGTACACATAGTAAGTGATAAGCCTAAGGGACATGAACCCACAGTCCAAAATATCTAGATACTTGCAGAAAACTATTATGAAGAGTCAGCAATAATTGCATACATTATAAATAAGCTTGTGCTTATACTTAATGTTGTTTATATTATAAATAATATTAAACATACCATAATTCATAAGAAAATGTCAATTACCTTTTAACACTATTAATATCTCTTATTCTTGCATGTTGCATTTTCAAAGATAATATTAATAATTATACTGTATATTTATTATGTAGCTTTATGCACATTAATTTTCTTAATATTTCTAACATTTATATTACATTGTACTACTGTTAGCCTATCACAGATGAGAAAAATTAACATCTGAAGAATTAATGTGACCCCCAAGCCACTGAAGATTTGAGATTTGAATTCAAGACTGTCCGACTGTGGGGAGCAGTGCTACATAATTTTAGGGAAAAATCATTTTATTAGGCCTACTTCTCCTGCCTATAGGCCAGCTATGGCATTTTGAGACATAATTCCATTTTGGCCACCTGGTCACAACTGAGACCTCAATGATCTGGTGATGCTGTGATTCTCCAGGACAAGATTACACCAGGTGCAGACATCCTGGGAGGAACAAAATCTTCATCTTACTCAGTTCCTCATTGTTCTGGGATTGTTACACTTCGTTTATCCCAATGTACTGAACTCTCTGCAAATCATTTGTTACATCTGTTTCTCCTGATGTACTGAACAAAAAGGTGTGGTAAGCTGGGGGCTTTCGTCTTTGCCGCCCAGAGCAGCACTGATCAGACACAAAGCTCAGCTTCTTCAAGTCTCATTTTCCTACCTTTCTTGTATAATAAGTTAATTCGCCTTGTGCTGCCATGGCTTGCAGGAGACTAGGACTTACTGCAGAGGTTCTAGTAACATCCCCTCCCCTTTCCCTGTTCCCTACATCTGACACTAAAGTTCAATTTCTATCCATTTATTTTACCCTATGAGGCAGGCTTTGGTTCTAGTCTAAGGGTCCCAGTTAACTGACTCTAAGACATATGTACAATATTCCTGGCTAATTCTTTTTGAAATTCCACAGCCTTAAACTCAAGGAAAATTCTCAGACCAAACCAGGTGGCCTAGGAGGCTGAGAATGGTGAGGACTGGGTTCATGCCTGGGGTAAAACACTGAACTATTATATGATGTCCTATTATATATCAGTAACAAGATTGATGAGGTGCACCTGCCTTGTATGTGAGAAGCCCTGATCCATTCAGATTAGTCTACCTGTAGAACTCCTCCTCCAGTCTTAAGGATCTTAGAAAGAGGTGAGCTTCTACAAGGCTGAAGACATTCATGGGCTCTGATCTATACTCTGATACAATGTGCTCAATGAAGAGGCTCTCTGGGGGGATCCTCCCTCACTCTGGAGAAAGTCTATGGCCCCTGTGCTGTGTAGCCTGGCTGTGGGAACCACCTTCTGTATCTTTTCAGTAAGGGAATTTCTGGAGTTTACCCAAGTGATGTGTGCATGGTCCCTCAGTCAAGATAATCTACCAAGGAGATTTGTCAGAATGATCACGCTACTCTCATCTTCCTTTTTGACTTCCTTCATACAATAAATATTTTCAGAAAAAAATAAAGTCTTCAGTTAAAAAGTTTTTTTTCAAAAAAGAAAGTGTCTCTGAACTAAAAGTCAATGAGAAAAAAAAAGACAAAAAATTCATAAAGGATTCTAGGAATTTTTTTTTTTGGTACTGGGAATCGAACTTGGGTCCTTGCGCTTGCACAGCAGGCAGTGAAACCACTGAGCTAAATCCCCAGCCCAGAATATTTTTTTAAAAAGTGGATTCAAACAACCCAGAGCAAATTCCTTAGTAAACTTCAAGGAATTGTCCATGTCACATGTAAACCCGTATAAAGCAGGAAAAGTAAGATTTGTAAAATTCAGGAACATATATACAGAGTAAGCATAAGTGAAGCATGAAGACATGGAAATTAAGAAAACAGTTTCTAAAAAGACTTACTGTGGACTGTGTTTGTGCCATGTATTCACCCTCCATTTTATTTAGTCGTACATTTGTATCCTCAAGTAATTCTTGAATATTTTCAGTGTGTCTCTTTTGAAGCTCAAATTTTTCTTTTTCCATTTCTGCTACAGCATTGTGGAGCTACACCATGAAATAAACACTCTTTCACTACTATGAAAAGACTTTTGCAATTCAGAAAAAATATTATATATATATATATATCAACAAATATAAAACCTGAATAACAAAAAATGTAAAATCCAGAAGTAAACATTTAGTTGCTGAGTTTGGTGGTGCACACCTGCAATCGCAGCAGTGTAGGAGGCTAAGACAGAAGGATCACATGTTTCAGCTCAGCTTGGGAAATTTAGTGACTTAGAATCTACCTCAAAAATTAAAAAAAGAATTTAAGGGCTAGGGATGCAGCTCAGTGAGAAGCCTCTGGGTTCAATCCCTAGTACTGCCAATACTTGTTTTTTAAAAAATTAATTTTTTTTGCTTTCTTGAATTGAAATTTTAATGGATAAGCAAATATTAAAAAGAATTATCTGTCTCAGATAAAAATGGTAAATAAGTCAGACAGACAATTCAATACCTCAATTAGACAAATATTAGTGTGAAATTAGAAATATATGAATATTTATAATATTATTTTTTAATTGAAGAAGAATTTATTATTCCATAGGGTACACTGCTTTTTATACATATTTCATAAATAATACAGGATTTTGCACATTCAATATTTTGCTATTGTTGAAAGGACTGTTCTCCATGTTCTCCCTCCCTTGCTTCTCAAACACCCCAAAAGGATTTGTTCATTGCACTGTGCTGTTTCTTCTTAAAAACCCTGCACATAAACAGTATAAATGGTTTAAAAATAATCCACACAATGAAAATAAACCAGGGGTGGGAGAATCGGACAGGGAAGGGAGTGGGAGGCAGGCTGGGGACTGGTGACATGCATCCTTTCATTCCATCATGCCAGTAAAGGGTGGTGGCGGGAGCAGCAGCAGCCCTGGCTGTATAATATTACTGATTAGGAATCTTATTTCATTATCTATATTATTTATCTTATTTGCATAATGTTTATTTTGTACAATATTGTTAAAAATGCTTTTTTCCTACTCAAGCCTTCATTAAGAAAGTACTTTTAGGGGCTGGGGATTTAGCTCAGTGGTTTCGCCATCTGCTGTGCAAGCCCAAGGACCCAAGTTCAATCCCTGGTACCAAAAAAAAAAAAAGAAAGAAAGTACTTTTAGCCACTCCATTATATATACAATGATACATAGATCATATTTATAGATCAGAGAATGAGTAGGACACCTAAGAAGAACTGCATGTTACGTGTATCATGTACACAGGTATTTATTGATAAAGACTATTATACCCTGTATAAAAGATGAACCTTTTAAAATACCTGTGTCAACTAAGCTAAAGAAGACAAAGGTGGGCTGGGGATTTAGCCCAGTGGTTCTGCCGCCTGCCTTGCAAGTGCAAGGTCCTGAGTTCAACTCCCGTACCAAAAAAAAAAAAAAAGACAAAGGCAAACACAGGAGGCCCAGACATGGTTCAGTGGACTGCTTCTGAGAGGGGCTGAAAATCTCTCAGCCTGTGGACATTCCTTTATTTATCTTAATGGGAATGGAATTCTAACTCCTATTTGCTGAATACAACATTGATTAGGTGGGAAGAACAAGAGTCCAAAATAATCTATATGATGTATTGTACTCCCTATCCATGAACAGGGAAGAGAGAAAAGAACATGACATAGGCAGTCCAGGAAGACACTGGAGAAACAGACAAGACTGAGAAATTATAGGACCTAGGGCCAGAATGTAGGCAATAATTATGATAAAAGCACTGGCGAAAGTCTCATGAACTTTTATTCTAGTTTCTAGCTGAACAGGAACAGTGGGAATGGCTCAATAATAGCCATACAGAAGATCCATGGGTTTCATAAATTTAACATATGCAATTTTGACTGTTTGTAAGTGGTCTCCAAAATTCCTGATATGTTTCATTTGTGTTTTATCTGAAATGTACATGTTAAACAAGTATTACATCTTATATTGAAGAATAAGTGCCTTAACAGGCCCAGGGGACCAATTTCTCATATGCATGTAAGTATGATCCATCCACTAGTGATCTTGTTCACATAACATACAAGCTTGTATGATAAATTCTAGTCTGGATTATGTTATTCTGTCCAGAAGTTCAGGAAAGAAATGGTCTAAGTCCAAATTAAAACAACTATTTCCCTACAGATTTTGCTTAAAATATATTGACTATGACAGAAAATTCAGAACATTAAATATAAGAATTAAGTAAAAAAAAAAGAATTAAGTCAAATGTATGTTTAAATGAAAACTATTTTATAGACCAGACTTCTAGAAGAAAGTATAACAAAACGTAAACAGTACCTATTTCCAATTTGTCCAGAATTTTTAATTATTTTTATTTTCTTTCCTTATAATTTTTGTATATTCTATAAAGTCCATTGTTATAGTTAAATATATTAATTTGAAGCCTATACTTTTATATTTTTTATTACAATACTAGGTAGCTTACCTTCTTTTCCCAATCATTATTCAGAGATTCTGTACTTTGTTCACATATCTTTTTTAGCTCTGCAATCTGGTTTTCTTTAGTCTCTCTGATAATTTGACAGTCACGTACAAGGGTCTGAACTGTCAAAAATGATGAAAACACAGTTAAACCAATTCTAGAAAACATATAAGAGTGTCACAATATAAAACACAGTATAGTGGTTAATAGATAATTCAATTTTTCACCAAGTCTTCTCAATTCACTCTTCTAAACTATCTTTTATTTTATTCTTTGCCCTTTTTCTCCATTTCTAAGACTGCTGTGGTTGAACTGTCTTTGCTCTCTCCCTACAAAATGTTAACAGTGTGCTCCCTTCAAGCATTCTTCCCCTCTAACTGATCCTTTACTGCTTTACAGAGGCCTTTTAACAATGCAAATCCAATCTTGTTACTCCCAAGCTGAACATCATTCTGCCATTCTTATCACCTAGGAGATAAAAGCCAAAAGCCTGGAAGAGTGAGGGCTGCCCTCTCCCTATCTCTTGCCACTTCCACTTTTTAAACCTGCGGTGTAAACACACCAACCTATCTGCAGATTCCAGAGGATATGTTCTTTAAAATGTCACTGCCTAAATATCATTGCCTATCACCTATTCCCTCCTTTGTTGAAAAACTCTCAGTCATCCTCGGAGTCTCAATTCAAGGATTAGCCTTTTTATAAACCACTAGCCTTATTCCTCCTTTTGTAGAGGCAGAAAAAAACCCTTTATTTCTATGAAAACCAAACACATTACTCCACTGAGTCATTTATATTATTATAACATTCTACTTGCCTATCACCTATTTTCACTGAGAAGAAAGATTTCAACTTCAAAATGTTATCCACAGGGCATAGCAGTGCCATATAGGTGAGTTCTCAAAGAAATGTTTACTGAATGAATAAATAAAAGTATCACTTCAATATATGTCGCTCCTACTTTAAAACTACTTTCAAGGTTTATGTTACTAAATTGAAAATGTTTTGAATTATATAAAATATTTTTCCTTGCCTAGAATGTGCCAGGCCCTAGATTCAATCCCCAAAACTGGAAATACATATATATATAAATTAAAAATTATTTTATAAATTATTATAAATAATTTTTATCTTCTTTCCTAAAATTACACTGCACTGATGTAAATAAAAATTTGTTTAATACATTCATGTCATCTGGATAATAAAATAAATTCAGCTGTATTTTTATTTCAATGTAACATTTTCTTACCTTACTGAATACATTTTTATTCATGTACTTTAAGATAGAATTTTCAGAAATATTCCCTTAGAAATTTTTTTCACTTATATCTCAACTATGTAACAAATAAAGGGAGGAGGAGAATCCAAGTTGACATAGTGTTGGCCTTTAGCACATACAACACATTTTACTTCACAATTTCAACACTAAATTAAGATCTGGCTATAATTCAAAGGCCTGAAGAAACATTACTTTTTAAATTTAGGTATTTTTAAACTTTAGGCATGTTTCAATTGCCTGCTTTGAATCAGATTAAGAAAGCAAGCCTGGAAATTATGTTTATAGTTACAGATAATATCTGGAGAAAGAACTTTAAATTTCTAATTACTTTAAACAACACTTCAGACTGGAAATTAATCTAACAGTATCTATTTTATTGGTTAATGTATATATAAACTGCCAACCTAAATTTTCCAGGGCATTACCATTCACTCAAACCCATCTAGGTTTGGTGATCTGGAAAAGAGTCAATAAGCTCTAAAAACACCTAAATGAAAACTTTTTCTTCTTTAATCTTACTGCCTATAGGTCATTATTCACTGAACTGTGATTCGCTCTTCAAAATTTCTTCTTCAGTTCCATTCTTACAACTACCACTGCCAGCACTTAAGATATTCTGGGTCCTTATCACTTTATGTGCAAAATTATAAAGTACAGAAACATAACATCTTTGAGTTGGAAGGGACTTTACATACTTATTCTGACATTATATTATAATGAGTAAACCGAGACCCACAGACTTCCTACCATTATGTATGAATGGAATGTTCTCTTCTGCATGCACTCGTGCTCTTGCTCTGCCTCCCCCTTCCTCTTTCCTCCCTCCCTCTACTGTCTCTCTGTTCTACACACCCACCACTGACATGCTTTCCCTAAAACTCACACCTCAAAAAGATTTTTCTGGCTCACCAGCTTCTAGATGATGAAGCTCAAACTTGTAAATCTGAAATTTAAGGTCACGTTTTATCTTGCCCCAAGCCAGCTATCTTAATCTTTTCCAAATTTAGCCCTTAATGTACAGATTACCCACTCTAGCTACGTAGGTTTGCAGCATCCACCCCACAACTTACCAACTTCAGCATTCCTATCCCAGGATAGAGAACTCTTCTCACCAGTTAATTCAATTTTACCAAACTTTAAAAAATCTTACACAAGATCTTTTCTCAAAAAAACCCATATATATATATATAATTTTCTCTTCCATAACTATCTATTGGTTTCAATGCTTTAATCCATAATCACAGTCAGCTTTAAACTTGATGGCTTTCTTTTCCTTCTGAATGAATGTGTAAATGGGGAATACTTTTTAAGTTTTTCCTGTTGATCCCAATACTAGCCATTGCCACTATACATCTATAGACACACACACACACATACACACACACACAATTTCACATAGTCACATGAAAGTTCCCATAAATTCATTTACTGATGGAAGCTCAAAGTCAGAAATTAAATTTTACATTTTATAAAATAAAATGAAAACATTATTAAAAGATTCATGTAACAATACACCTTTCTTTTCAAGCTTTCTTATAATCTCCTCTGTTTCATTTTGTTTCTTCTTGTATAAAGTTTTCAGTTCTTCTATTTCGTTATTTTTTCTTTCTAAAATCTGCAAATAAACAAAAATTTTAGCATACCATATATTAAGTACAGAACACATTATTTTAAAATGAGCATAATACTTTTGCAGATTTATCTATCATAAATAATTCCCTCTCCAAAATTATAATGCATTGAAAATACTGAATATACTAAAATACTTGATTATCCAAAAAATTATGTTATCTGTTTGGGATTGTCACATATTAATTTTTAAGGATATATAAATAATAAATTAGGTGATTCCCTAAAATATGTCAGAAATTAAACTGTCATAAAGTGGCAGAGAGAAATCTGACATGTTGGAATAATACAATTCACTCTACTGCACTTAAATAGAGCATTTTTCCACCGAGCATATCCCTGAATCCCCCTCAAATGCCCTTCTACCATTTTAGTGCACAATGACAATTATTCCCAGACACATGGGAAGATGACATATAATAAGCTTCTTTTATATCTAGATCTGCTACATGAACCAAAAAAGAGCTCAAATTATGTAAAAAATTGAATTAAAATTTTATATCATTGATTTACGTTGTATCAAAAGCTTTAAATTTAATCATTTAATAAATCTGATCATGATTTTAGGCTTCAAAATATATCAACACTAAAAAAAACAACAGAAACAACCAAGATGTAAGAAAGTTAGCAAGCAGAGGAAAATGTCAACCAGGGGAAAAAAGAAAAACAAACTGAGATAGTAGGAATATACACTTTTCTTATGGTTGAGGTACATATCCCACGCACCGAAACTCAAGTAAAAAAGTCATCTACCAATGTCTACTCAACTTTTTCTGAGTTATTTTACTGCCTACACTTTAAATTACCTGTCCTTTTTTCAGTCTCTAAGAATAATAAATAAAAGGAGCAATTTTGACTGTAGTGTCCAGAAAGAAGAAAAAAAAAAGATACAAATGTATGTAAATGAAATGCTCTGGATTTTATTCCTCTCTGATTCTTGACATTTAAAAAATGCCCTAAGCAACAAATTGATGAACATACTTTGAAGATCTAGCACAATGTTAAGGATTTCATTTATATGTTACCTATTACTTCAAATTAGTTATATTGCTTTTATTTTCACATAAAATTTATTTGATAAGGGAGATTCCTAGAAAGGATTGTATGAGTAAATGTTTTTATAGATCTGTGTAAAATATACTTAAGAAGCCTATTTTATATTCTATCATCATGATCTTTCCAAATCTTTTATATTAACGTCTTATAAAGTAATAGATTCTATTTCATTTGGATATGTTAAAATTATATTACCAAAATATTTATGATAGAGAACTATTTTATCTAAACAACTTAAAGTAAAAATCTAATAAAAATAAAAAGTAACATTTCCCTTTAACATTTGAATAGGAGAGTTAGAAAGGAAAATAATTCAGTATTTTTTCCTTTTTTTAATATGCAATTATTGTCTTTCTTCTTGCTGCTTTGAAAGATGAGTCAAATATGCACCTGGCAAATATTAATGTATTTTTCCATTTCTCTAAGTTTGGATACATACTGTTGCAGCCTGAACTACTCAGCTCTGTCTCTTACTTAGTTTTGAGGAAGCAAAATCTATTTTTTTTTTTTTTGGTACTGGGGATCAAACTCAGGTCCTTGCGCTTGTGCAGCACTGAGCTAAACCACAGGCCCACTGAGCTAAATCCCCGGCCCGAGGAAGCAAAATCTTATGCTTAGTTTTAAAACAGTATACTCGAACTTTCTAATTGGATCAACCTTATATATTTAAAATGCACAAACATTATTTTACATTACATTGGTTTACATTATTTGATCATGACAAAAATAAAGTATCGGCTCAAATTCCATACAAGATAACCAGAAATTGATTTTTGCTGAATCACTTAGGAAGAAAATAAAATTTATTTAAAAAGAAAGATTGAAAGACTGGAACGTATAAATCTCAACGAGCCACTCAAAAAAAGAAGCCTTCATTGTTAGTACTAGCATGCAGTCTATACCAAACAGATCTAAGTCCAAGAGCTCCTTTTTAAATTAAAATGAAAATTATAATTATCAAAAAACTGAAAGAATATTAGGCAAAAGAAATTCTGGTATTCACAGTTAGTATCTTATTTCAATTATTTCAATTTTCATAAAAGTTAGTAAAAGAATAAAGATTTCAAAACTTTCAGTACAGCCTTTAAGTAATAGTTTGAAGAACTAAAAGATAATATAAGGTTTGAAATAAATTGCTTGGCAAATGAAGTTTACAAATCAACTTTAGCAAATTCTACATATACACTCTAATAAGCAAGTGGGTGGCAGGGTAGATGCACAAACTGACAGGTTATCAAAAGCCCTAGAATATTTTAAATATTCAACAAAAATAAAAGGAATTAATGATATAAACCTTACCTTCTGAACATCTGCATCATGTTTCTGTTGCAGCTTAAGTTTTTCTTCATGAAATTTTGCTTCCATCATTTTTATTTTCATGTCCAACTTTAAGGAAAAAAGTTTAAATATATTATTAATTTGCTTTCCCTTTGGCAAAAATATATAATTAAAATAATGCCTTACATAAAAGAAAGTATCACGTTTCACTTTTACCTTGTAGCCATGAGTTCTACCAATCATATTACATGTATCAATATGTTGATTACATTCTTTCAACCACTTTCAAGCTAATTAAATCTTTAAAATAAATTTCACTTAGTAGGCACAACTGACAATACATTAAGTACAGATTCATCAGTTATCTCCTACTTCCCTCCACCCCTCAAAAAAGTCATTTTCTAGCAGTATTCTGCTTTTATATTTAAATCCACAGTATTCTACCCTGATTTTTCATTTTTATACATCTCCTCCAATCTTTTTTTTCTTTGCTCATATCTACACGTTCATTCAAAATACTCCTTAACTTCACCTAGATATTGGAATATGACAATTTAAGAATGAATATCTATAAATGGCAAACTATTCATAATGTATATCTCTCTCCTGTTTTCCAGTTCTCTCTTCTGAAATCCTAGATCTCCACTCAGTCAAGGCAGTGATTTTATCTACTTTCAAGCTTCCCTTAACAGTCCTATCCTCCCAAAACAAACACGACATTGCAACAGCATTCTCAGCAAAGCAAGCAAAATCAATGCTGTGGAAAAATGAGTGTATCCTAGAATTTTTTTTTTAAATGTGGCAACAGGTTTTAGGAAGCAACACAAAATTGATTATCTCAAGTGTGAATGTATTTGGACACTTAGTTCTTTACAGTTTAAAAGAATATACACAATGGAATCTGACAGACCTCATTTCTAACTCTAATTGCACCACATATTAACTATAGTGACTTTGGCAAAGTCACTACTTTGACATTCTATTTTCTTTTCTGGAAAACTTATCCTTACCTCAATGGATTATAAAATTATATTCAATGAAATAATTTAAGTAACTATATTCACAATACAATGTGGGGATCAAAGAAGGTATGCAGAAATTATTGGTCAACAACATTCAGGAAAAAAAGTTCTTTTAAAATTTTTAGAAATGTACTTTCAAAATATTTTCTTAAAACTTTTTGAAATACATTTCATATTTTCACTTACAGTTTCAAATACGAAAAAGAATACAAACTGAAAATATACATGCATGACCAAATCAACATATCAAAATTAAGTATTAAAATTTTTAAAATGAAAGGTACATAACAAAGTCATAACTTTTTTCATTACCAGTGGTAAAGGAGAAGACATTTATTTACTATGTGAAAGGAAAAAATTCTGAATATTTCTCATCTCCTCCCTTTAATCAGATGATGCCTCTTGCTCATTTTTGCAGAAATAGGACTGAGTGATCTAACTCTGTGAAGATTTTCAATACAAGTATTTTTGGGTCCATTATCAAGAATTTAAACCCAAAAGCAACATAACACAGCTTGCCACGTACAGAGGACTTAATTCACTGACAGATTTCCCAACACGACCTTCCAGACTAGACAACTTGTCATACCCTTAGTACTATAGTCATTCTCTAGGTACTATATGACTGTCCATTGTAATCCATCCCACCACCTTCACCTGTCTCATTTCATTCTGTATGGACCAAATTATGCACACATGGTTAAGTGATCCATTACCTAGTGAACAACCAATTAACACCTCTCTATCTCTGTCTCTGTCTCTGTCTCTCTGTCTCTGCCTGCCTCTCTCTCTCTGTCTGCCTCTCTCTGTCTCTGCCTCTGTCTCTGTCTCTCCCTTCCTCCCTCCCTCCTTCATGTGAACTAAGATAGAAAGTTAGACACTTTGGGAAGAAATGTCAAGTTTAATGGAACAGCAACCAAGACAAAGCAGAAAGAAAAGCAAACAAACAGTAAAGATTAGGAGCAACATAACATTTGAAAGAGGAAGGAAGCAATTTCAACCTCCAATGGTCTCAATGATATGAAACTTACTTGAGTTCAAAGGATTTCTCAAGTCTCTTTTTATTTATGGTGGCCCGATGGATTCTGCTGTTTGGTATAACATTAAACTTAAAGAAAAACTGTAAGAGTAGCACAAGGAATTATACATTTTGTACCATGTGCTTTGTCATTTTATATGTATACCTACATCAATATATAAGAAGATTTGGAAAGAGAAAGACTTGCATGTTCTATTCACAATCATTTACATGTTTGCCTCTTTATTCCTAGACTTCTGTATATATTTCTTTACAACAAGGACATTTTAATAACCACGGCAGAATTATCAAAATCAGTAAGTGTAATATTAATATTGTCTAATGAAAAGTGAATAGTTGAGTTTTATAAATTATCACAATAATGCCACCTATAACTATTTTTTTACTTGATCCAGAATCCAAAGCAGAATCCTTTAGTTCTTATATCAACTCTATCTCCTTTAATCTCAAACAGTCTTTCTTTTTGTTTCTTCACCTGACAAAGAGTACAGCCAGTTATTGAATGTCTCCTAATTTGGATTTATCTGATGTTTCTTAATAATTACATTTACTATCTTTTGACGTGAAAGAGATGTGGGGTCCTTTTATAGCCCATGATTTTATTTTATTTTTTTTCCCATTAAGTTTATTGGTACATTTTAGGTATAAAATACAGTTACATTCATCATTGGGATCTTGTACCATTGCATGAGTATCTTGGTTCTTATTTTTTTCCCCTTCCCCTGCCCTCCCTTCATCCCCTTCACCCCTCCGAATTTGCAAAGTTTGTTTCCATTTTTTTCCTTTTCTCATATTTTTCTTTTCCCTTCTTTCCTTTCCCCTACCCGTCCCACTTCCCCTACTCCTTTAGACCTTTTCTTCCTATTACACAGTATCAATTATGCACTTTAAAAATTACAATATCAAGATCTAGGAGACATTACCACAGATTTTACAGAATTTAAAAGGATATAGAAAACAGCACATGATTTTAAAGAAAGTTGGCTTGTTCTAATATTTTCAATGTAAGGTTTAGAAGCCGGGTTAAAATAGTGAATACCAATTATTGTGAAAGTAATATTAGAAAGTAAGTTTCACTACTGCATCCTTTAAATAAATTAAGAAAAGTATTGCTTCTCTGGAAACTCTAACTTTGATGCTATAGAACAGCTCTATACTTCTGCCCTGTACTTTAGGACATAATTCATGAAAAACTGTCAGGATTAGAATACATAAATACAATTACTAATATAATGAATAAAGATAATGCAAGGATACAAGATTTAGATGCGTACACAAGTATACATACAGATATGTATAGATGTATGAATCAGTATATATGTTATGCATATGTAAGAGTAAATATTGTTTAGTTTAATAGAAGACTGAAATTAAAAGACTTCAACATTTCTAATTTGTTTGACCTCCAAGTAATTCTGACATCAAACATCTAAATTTTCTTTTCTTAGCATCAAAATATATACTATTTCAAATTTTTGAAAGCCTGAAGATCTCTATTAGGCTATAATGAAGCAACCAGTACCAGACTTCCACTGCTAACAATCATTAACGGAATAAATTATATCAGGTAACTCTTCTCAGACATGAGGGAACAGTCAGAATGTAATGTGATTGTCATGGATTGAGTCCCACTACAGGCTTTCTGCCTGGTTACAACTGGAGCCCAAGTGGAGCACCACAGACCTGCTGAGCTAAGAAAGCAGAAGTCAGGGTTCCGAGCAGTTAAAGAAGATGGAATCTTAGTATGAGGCATAAGAGAGGTATAAGCTACCCAGCAGAATCCTCTGCCATTCCTTGACCACAGGCAAATGGGCTGGAACATGCATGCATTGAATCAATAACAAAGCACCGCAGCTACCAGCTAAAAAACAACACATAAACAAAGCTGGGAGACACCAAAGAGACGGTATGGAGACACTTTCCTAACAATTTGTGACAAGTGGGCATCCAGATGAAACACCATAAAGGTCATACCTCAGATATACTTCAAACCTCCCTAACAAACGCAAAAAGCAAGCCTTTATCAAATCCTCAGAGACAGACTTTGTAGATTGGGTTCTGCCATGTTAGAGGCGTTTCATAATATCTCTGGCTTTCCCCAGACTTAGCTCAACAGAACACATCTATATACATATCTGTATCTATATATGCACATGTACATGTATATATATATATATATATATATATATGGAAATTAATCTTTAAAATTAAACAGAATAACTAAGCCTAAATTATAGACTCTTTAATGGCAGGCTAAGATAGAGGGATACTAAGGAGTATAAACAGGCAAGCTCTTCTTAAAATGATGGATAAGAAAAGTGAATGCTGCTGGGTGTGGTGTACATGCCTGTAATTCTAGCAATTTGGGAAACAGAGCCAGGAAGATTGAGAATTTGAAATCAGCCTAGACAATTTAGCAACTTGGCAAGACCCTGAACCTGTGTTAAAAAAATAAAAAAGAAGGGCTGAGGATGTAACTCAGTGTGAAGGCTCTTGGTTTAATCTCCAGTATCACACACACACAAAAAGTATATCCAATCTTATTCCATTACTGAAATCAACCACTGTTCTCCTTGTTCTCACTTACCAATCTTTTTTTTTTTTTTCAGTACCGGGGATCGAACTCAGGATCTTGTACTTGCAAGGCAGGTGCAGTGCCACTGAGCTAAAACCCCAGCCCTCACCTGCCAATCTTCTAATGTTAAACAGGTTTAGTTTGGAACTGAAATGTACATCTAGGCCATTTTTCCCCATCAAAAATATTTATGATCAGAATCAGTTGGGATAAATGGAAAGAGGAAAGCCTCACCTCATTTGAGCAAATCTACAGGCAATATAACCAGATGATCCCCTCAGACAATACTTGAACCACCCCAGAGGTAAGCAACCCATTTATAGAAAAAGGAAGAGAGAGATATCAAGAGATCAGGACTAATTTCACAGTACTAAGAGTATACAGCAAACTACCCTATGGAAAAACTTCTGTTTTAAAAAGCATTCCTGAAAGTTATACCTAAAACTTAAGAAAATTTATTTACACAGTCCAC